TGCAGGGATCAGGCTTCTCCCCCTGCCTAAGTCTCTGCCTCTCTCTGTGTGTCTCTCCTGAATAAGTAAATAAAATATTTTTTTAAAAAAAAGGAATTGGGGGTTTATACAGCAGCTTTTTAAAAGTACAGTACATTTTCAGAGAAATGACAAGACAAAGGCAAATAGGTTTAAGTTTCTAGGACTGCAAATTGTAGGAAAGAAAGTATATGGATGAACCAGTGGAGATAGTAAAGTTTATTGTATTAGATTCTTTCAGTGCTGTCCTAGGTTGGTAAGAATCTAGAATTGTCTTCAGTTATTAACTTTTGTCCTTCCTGGTAGAGAAGGGAGGGGGAATATCTTTACAGATTTATGTCCACCTTTCAGGCAAATAGGAGGAAAACAGAGAGCTTTTCTTGTATCTGCTTCTTCTCGTCTTCAGCTCACATTGATTCTTTTTTTTTAAGATTTTATTTATTTATTCATAGACACAGAGAGAGAGGCAGAGACACAGGCAGAGGGAGAAGCTTGGCTTCATGCAGGGAGCCCAATGTGGGACTCAATCTGGGTCTCCAGGATCACATCCCAGGCTGCAGGCGGGGTCAAACCACTTTGCCTCCAGGGCTGCGGCTCACATTGATTCTTATACCATAGTGGCATGTTTTGGGGCGGCACATTCTGCTACCCTTCACTATGTATAAAAATAAGAAATTATACTCCTAAACATTTAAAACAAAAAAATTCAAATGAAATTTTAAAAAATATGATTCGCATTAGCATAAAAATAAAATACCTAAAAATAAACCTAACAAAAGATTTGCTAGGTTTCGAAACAAAAACTGTAAAACATTATTGAAACTGATTAAAGAAAATTGAAATAAATAATTAATGGCAACAGTATTCATAATTGCCAAAAAGCAGGAACAACCCAATGCCCATCAAGAGTGAAATGTTTAGGGCAGCCTGGGTGGCTCAGCAGTTTAGCACCACCTTCAGCCCGGGGTGTGAGCCTGGAGACCCAGGGTGGAGTCCCACATCGGGCTCCCTGCATGGAGCCTGCTTCTCCCTCTGCCTGTGTCTCTGTGTCTCTCATGAATAAATAAATAAAATCTTTAAAAAAAAAAGTGTGAAAAAAATAAAAAAAATAAAAAAAGTGTGAAATGTTTTAAATTGTGGTATATCCATCAGTGGAAAATTATACAGCAGCAAAAAGAATGACCCATTGCTATGCGATGAATCTCATAAACATAATGTTCAGCAAAATAAGCCATAATCAAAAGTAGTTACTTTGGAAGGTAATGATTAGGAGGTGTGAATAAGGCTTCTGAGTTGTGGACAATACTCTCTTTCTATATATAGGTGGTTTCATTAATGTATTACTCTATACAAAATTTTTAAAAGATTTTATTTATTTATTCATGAGAGATACACAGAGAGAGGGAGACACAGGCAGAGGGAAAAGCAGGCTCCTTACAGGGAGCCTGATGTGGGACTCGATCCCCAGATCCGGGATCACGCCCTGAGCGGAAGGCAGATGCTCAACCGCTGAGCCACCCAGACAACCCTTTATACAAAAATTTTTAAAGATTTATTTACATACTTAAGAGAGAGAGAAAGTGCATGTGGTGGGGGGGGGCAAAGAAAAGGGGATAATAGACTCCCTGCTGAACAAGGAGCCTAATTTGGGGCTCAATCCCAGGACCTTGAGATCATGACCTGAGCCAAATCAGATGCTTTACCGACTGAGCCACCCAGGCACTCCTACTCTATACAAATTTAATTGAGCTATAGCTTAAGATTTAACACTTTATGTATGTTACAACTATATATAATTTTTTTAAGATTTTTATTTATTTATACAGGAGAGACACAGAGAGGCAGAGACATAAGCAGAGGGAGAAGCAGGCTCCATGAGTCAATGGCAGACGCATTCAACCACTGAGCCACCCAGGCATCCCAACTATATATAATTTTTTTTAAGATTTTATTTATTTATTCATGAGAGACACAGAGAGAGAGAGAAGCAGAGACACAGCAGAGGGAGAAGCAGGCTCCATGCAGGGAACCCAATGTGGGACTTGATCCTGGGACCCCAGGATCACGCCCTGGGCCAAAGGCAGGCGCCAAACCACTGAGCCACCCAGGGATCCCCTATATATAATTTTTAAAAAATTTTTAAGTCTTATAAAATTACCCACAACTCAACAAAGGAAGAGAGAAAGGGGGTAGGGAGAGAGGAACAAGAATACTGAAGAAATAACAGAAAGAATGAACTTAACACTAATAAAGCTAAGGAGTCCACCACTTGACAGCCTGTGAAATGCTTGGCAGGGACACCTGGGTGGCTCTGTGGTTTGGCACTGCCTTCAGCCCAGGGCGTGGTCCTGGGGTCCCAGGATCAAGTCCCACATCGGGTTCCCTGCATGGAACCTGCTTCTCCCTCTGCCTATGTCTCTGCCTCTCTGTCTCTCATGAATAAATAAATAAAATATTTTTAAAAAAGAAAATACTTAGCAAAAATTCTTACTGAACTCTCAAGACCCCATGAGGTGGATACTATTTGTTCCCATTTTAAAGAAAAAATTGAAGTTCAGAGAGGTGAGGTCACTTGCCAAAGTCACATAGCAGTGGCATTGGTTTTCTGATTCCCTATCTCACCCTTTTAACCACCCATCACATCACCTGTCAAACAGGTTCTTTCCCAGACCTTATGACAAGTCACCATCTAATAGCTGTGATAATAACAATTAACAGCGATTATCACCTTAAGTGCTCAAGGAAACCTAAGAAGCAATTACTATCTCCATTTCTGAGAGGAAACCTGAGTCTCAGAGAGGGTAAGCCATTGTGCCAACAAAGTAATAGAGCCAAAATTCAAACCCAAGAATGTCTGCCTCTGGGCTCACAGCCTTGTCATAAATTCTATACTGCCCAGTAGTTAAGAGGTTTGGATTCCATCCATTCCTTCACTTATTCATTCAACACTTTTTTTTTTTTTTTGAGCCCTCACACTGGGCCAGGCATGTTGTAGTCCCAAAACAGCCTCCTACTGCATATTGCTCACATTCCAGTGGGGTGACAGTACACAGATATACATGTCACGTTGTGAGACATGCCATGAGGACCACTAAGAAATAGTAAGTGTTTAGTGAGAAGGGGGCCCAATGCAGCAGTGTGACCGGGGAAGGTCTGAGGACGTGACAGCTGAATGAATGATGGTGGGATGCAACCTTTTCTGTGTCTCTGCTAGCAGAAAGGCGGACGGATGGCTGGCACATCTTATGTCCCAAATCCCCTTTCTTGGGAGTCAATTTTGGGTGTAATTCTCTCTTGTCTGATGGGAAAAACAGGGTATTTTCCTCCCCACTCTCTCCTATAAGGGATGAATGAAACGGTTTGAGAAAGACTCCTTCAGGGATTTATTAGTATATGGTGACTGGAGCCCCAGAGGGCGCGGGAGTGCTAGAGCAAGACAGGGCAGGACATCATTGTGATGGTGATGGGCAGCCTGGCACAGAACAGACGGCAAAGGGGCATGACTTAGTAGCTGATAAAAAGGAGGGGATGGACAAGGGGTGCCTCAATCTAACTCTCCCTTACTTGGGCCCATTACACTCAAGCTTGAGACGAGAAGACCCCGGCGCAGAGGACGCAGGGACACCTCGGGTGCCCTACCCGCGGTAAACCCCGCAGCCTTGGCCCGCTCGGCCAGTACGCATGCGCCGGCTCCACCAGGCCGGGGGCGCGCCCCGGTAGCCCTACGCATGCGCGGCCTCGCGGTTGCAGGTAACAGACAGGACAGAGCGCGGTGCGCGCCTGCGTCGCGAGGAGGAGCCCAGGTGGGGCGGGGTTTAGACGCCACGCGCGCTCTCGGTCCCACCCCGCCCCCTGTCTTTTCCTGGTGGCACGGCGCACGCGCACCTCCGTGCTACCCAATTGCCGTTGGTCAGTCGCGGTCTCCTGCTGTGTCCCGCCGGACGTGGGCCCAGGTGCGCCCCGGCGGTGGCGAGGTTCCCGAGAGAAGCCCTGTTGGAGCTCCTGAATCGTGGGGGAGCATCCCCGATATCAAGGCCTTCCAAAAGGTTTTCCTGAAATCCTGACCAAATACCCTCAGAAATACTGAAAAGTACTCTCCAGGAAATCCGATAGACGACGCCTGAAATCTCCTCAGAATCTTCTCGAAATTCGGTCAGACTTCTCCCTCAGAGCCTGCCGGGCTACCCCCCCCCCATACTACTATTCCTTTCCCAAATACTATCAGGGACACCCCCCCCCCCACCCCGGCCCGAAGTCCTGTCAGAGATCCCCACAAGTCTTGTCAAACCCGCCAAAATTCTTGTCAGAGTCCCCTCCCAAATCCTGTCAGAGACCTCTGGAATCCAGTCAGACACCCCCAGAAATCCAGAGACGCCCCAGAAACCTGCTCAAAGACCCCTTTAAGACCCAGACCCCCTTAAATCCTGCCTGTGTCCTCCTCCTGCTCTAGCCTGCCTGTCAAAGACCCTCCCTCACTCTCCCTCCTCCCCTCAAGTCCCTATCCGGGGCTACCAGTGCCAGACCTTTCACTACTCAGGCCCCATAGCCATCACCCCCACCCCCACCCCGACACCCCTCCAGCGTTGTCCAAACCCGGAGGTCTCCCTTCAAAGACCGCTTTTTCTAGGACATTCTAAAAGCTTCCAGGAAGTGTGCACTCCATGACTGTGGGGCCGGCTGAGGCCACGGAGAGCAGGGTGTAGGGAGCACTTAGTGAGGAAAGGGGTGACGAGCGGGTGGGGTGAGGACAGACAGGCCCTAGGTGACCTGATGTTGACCATCTGCCCTAGTGTGCCCAGTTCAGCCCCGATGGGCAGTGTTGTCCGGTGTAATTATTAATAGCACCCTTCTTGCTCTTGAAAGTGTCCTGGCATTGGGACAGTAAGTCATATAGTCAAGCTGGTTATAATGGAGGCAGGACAAGTCATTGTCAGGGCACAGAGGAGGGAGTCCCTAACTGGTCCGGGGAGTCAGGGAAGGCTGTGAGCCAGAGCAGGGGCCACAAGTGCCATAGTTGTGATGAGGGTGAGGGCCCTGGAGGTCGGCAGTGGAGAGAAAAATGACAAAAAGAGACAAGGAATTGCAGAGAGCACTCTGTCCCGAGCCGGAAGAGCTAGGACTTAGTCCTGAGGGCACTAGGGATCCATGGCAGGGATCAGAGTAGGAAAAAGATGGGGTCACATTCACATGGGAGCCAAACAGTTCCTAAAACAGGCTGATAATAGCAGAACGTCAGTCACCCAGGGCAGTGTGAGAATCCAGACACAGCAGCTCATTCAGAAACATTTTCCCAGAGTAGGGGGATGTGAGCCAAGACAGGAAGGGCTGGAAAGGAGATTGTCCCAGGCAGAAACCAGGGGCGGGGGGGTGGGGGGGTGGAAACAGCCAGGCCGGTGTGGGGGAGAGCATGCAGTTCAGAGCTGCTGGAACTGCAAGTGTGATTTGGGTTTGTGGAGGTGTGCAGGGCCAGGCTATGCAAGGGCCTTCGATGCTGGGTCCGGGGTCTAGGTTCTGTCCCTGGGGTACTGGGGAGCCATGGGAGAACACTGAGCAGGAGAGGGGCAGGTCAGCTCTGGGGCCCTGTGGGGATGCATAGGAGGGGAAAGTCTGGAGACCGGGAGGCTGGGGAGGATGGGATGAGGGTCCAGGAGGAAAGGATGGGGCCTGGCCCAGAGATGTAGGGAAGGAGAGGAGTGGACAGGGTAAAGTCGTAGGGCGAGGAGAAACCAGGTTAGGGACTTGACAGGACGAGTGGAAGGGAAGCAAGGAGGGAGTGACCCCCACCCCCAGCCACTCTTTGATCTCTGCTGCCCACTCCTTGCCCCCGCCCCTTTCCCCAGCCCACACCTCCAATCCATAAAACAGGTCTGAGCGGGAGCTGCTCTGGTGGAAGCAGGGGTGGGCAAACAGGTTCTGAGAACCCAGAGCGGCCTGGGGCACAGGTGGGGCGGGGTGTCTGGTCTGAGGAGGCTATGCCCATTTGTCCTTCCAGGAGCTCTTAGAGCCTTCGAGCCTTTGTCAGCCCCTCCCAGGGATGGAGGCAGGCTTTTAGTTTCTCCACCACCTGCAGAACAACCGGGGAGGCCCATGGATGTTCCAGAGGGCCAGGCAGGTGGCCCTGCTGCAAAAAGTAGGTGGCTATCCCCTTTTTGCCCCCATGGGAGGATGAGGAGGGAAGCAGTGGGGGAGTGGGTGCCAGGTTGTGCCTCAGGGACTTGAGAGAGGTGGCTTGGGGTGTCTGAGCCTCCACCTTGGTGCAGGGTGGGAGTGAGTGAGCTGTCATTGAAGGGCCCCCTGTGTGCCCACCTGTGTGGACACCACATCTTGTCTGCTCTGCGGAAGCTGGAGCAGAAACCTTTGCACTCACTATATGTACCCTCTGTGCAGGGCACCCTTCCCTAAGGCTTTCCCCTCACTTCATTCAGATCTCTCCTTCCTTTGAAAAGCTTTCTTTCACATTCACTCCCCTCTCCTGCTTCTCCTCAGAGCACGGACAGACATCGTCTGTTTTTTTCTCTCTCTCCCACTAGAACATACTTTCCGTGAGGTGAGAGTCTGTTGTATTCACTCTGGTTCCTGGTCCGTAGAGCAGTGCTGTCCAACTTGTGAGCCATAATTGTGATTTTAAATTTTGTTAGTAGCCATATTTCTAAATTTTTAAAAAAAGATTTATAGCCTTATTTGAAAGAGAAAGTGGAGGGGAGGGTCAGAGGGAGAGGAAGAATCTCAAGCGGATTCCCTGCTGAGCATGGAGCCCAATGTGGGTCTCTATTCCATGACTCTGAGATCATAACCCGAGCTGAAATCCAAGAGCTGGTCGCCCCACTGACTGAGCCACCCAGGAGCCCCTAGTAGCCACATTTAAAAAAAATATATTTATTTATTTGACAGAGAGAGAGAGAGTGTGCAGTAGGCAGAGCAACAGGGAAAGGGAGAGGGAGAAGCAGGCTCCCTGTTGAGTGGGGAGCCAGATGTGGGGCTCGATCCCAGGACCCTGAGATCATGACCTGAGCCAAAGGCAGACACCTAACTGACTGAGCCACCCAGAAGCCCCTTGTAGCCACATTTAAAAGAAAAAGAAACAGGCAAAATGAACAAGAATAATTTTATTCAACCTAATATATCCAAAGTGGTATTCTTTCAGCATGTAATTAATATAAAAATGTATTGGAGATATTCCTTTGTTTTTTCATACCAGGGCTTCAAGATATGGTGTGTAGTTTATACTAACAGGGTGACTTAAGTCTCACCACAGTTCAAGCACTCAAGAACAGTGTGTGGCACGTGCCTGCCCTGTTTGGTTAGTGCTGCCCTAGAACCATGTCTGACTCCAAGGAGCTCAGTTATGGTCCTTGATTGTTTGGATGGATGTATACCCAAATGGTGTGAAAGCCAGCTTCAGAAGTAAGGGGAAGGGAGACACTGGGTGGTCCTCTCTAAAATTCACCTGCTAAGTGGGAGAGCTTATTGTGATGGGGGAAGAGGCTCCCACCCTAGGGGAGAGGCAGGACTGCTTTCTTTGAGGCTCCCAGGGTCCAGCAGCAGGGCTTGCATCTTTTCTCCAGGCTACGGGCCTGGACTCTGGCCTCAGGAGGCTTTCCAGAGGGGAAGGTAGGAGGCAGACACCTGGGTGCAGGGACCGAGGGCAGGTGGACCAAGAGACTTGCCACAGCAGCTTCGTGGACACCAGCAGAGGGCGTGCAGCCACCAAGGATCCCGTGGGCCAGGGCCAAGCCAGCTGGGGAGGCTTCTGAAGGAAAGGGAAGGACACACCCGGAGAAATGGAGACAGACCCAGGGAGGGAGGGGGCAGAGATGCTGAGACTGTCAGGCAAGGAGAGAGAAGGCTCAGGGAACAGAGAGTCACCGAGATAATGGGAAAAGAAGCCCAGAGAAAACAGAGAGGCAGGGGTCTGGAAAGAGAGATGGGGAGGAAGATGGAGAGAAGGAGCCAGAGAGAAAACTAGAGAAAGGCAGAGACACAGAGAGAGATAGAGACACTGAGGACGGAAACAAAGAAAAGAGAACAGGAGAAGCAGTGACATGTTCCTGGGGGACCCCAGGGAGGGACTGAAGACCCGTATGGATCCCCTGAGCCAGACAGTCCCCGGTTGACTCTGGCTCCACTCTCCCTGGCTGGGCAGCCCCAGGGAGTGACCTCTCAGGCTGTGATTCTTGCTGGGCCTCAGGGTGCTCCTTGGTTACCTGGGGAGCACAATGAGAGGAGCAAACAGGAGAGTTCAGGTAAAGCTCCAGCAGGGGCCCTGGTGTCCCCCAACTGTGGGTTCCTTCCCCCTTCTCCTAGGAGCATGGGTTCAAACCTGAAGGGGCTGAATTTTAGCTCTCTACAAAGAATCCCCTGAGAGTAAAAAGAATTAGAGCAATCATGGACGCCTGGTTGGCTCAGTCGGTAGAGCATGCGATTCTTGATCTCAGGGCTGTGAGTTCAAGTTCCACATTGGGGGGGGGGGGAGCATACTTAAAAAAAAAAAGAAGCATTTGTATGTTGAACAGATGACCTGGGGCAAATTCCTAACTTCTCTGTGCGAGTCTCCTCCTCTGTAAAATGGGGCTAATGATAGCAGCCACCAGGGTCCATACAAAACCCCCAGAAGAGGAAAGGCATCTACTAACTGCTAAATAAATGTTCAGTTCTGTTATTGAGCCTCTACCACATGCCAGGCCTTCAGCCCAGGGCCTTTCTAGATTTTTTTTTTTTAAGAATTTTATTTATTTATTTGACAGGGAGCGAGCACAAACGGGGAGTGGCAGGCAGAGGGAGAGGGAGAAGCAGATTCCCCTCTAAGCAGAGAGCTTGATGAGGTCTGGATTCCAGGATCCAGGGAATCATGACCTGAGCTGAAGGCAGACACTTCACTGATGGAGCCACCCAGGCTCCCCAGCCTTTCTAGATTTTACCTCACTTCCTCTCTGGGAGGGAGGAAACACCCCCATTTTCCAGAGGAAGAAACTGAGGCTCAGAGAGTCTATGCTCCTTACTAGGGTTGCCTCTTGGGTCTGTCAGACTGCAGCCCACGCGAGACCTGCTGCCATACCCGGTTGTTCAAGGGCAGGACAGGGAACCTTGAAAGTCACTTCTAGTTCCAAAGACGCAGAGTCCAGTAACTCCTGGGGTGGAGGATCTCCTCCTGTATCTTGGAGCATTTATTGAGTGCTTACTATATGCCGGTACTATAGATACAGAGATGAACAAACAGACCTGGGGACATGCACATTGTGTATCTCTGTTGGGAGGGCTATTCCCATACACAAACCTACTGCTCCCAGCCCTGGTAAGGGAGGGAGGGGCATCAATACCCACTCATTTTACTGGTGGGGAAATTGAGGCTCCAAAGGGAGAATTGACTTGCACACAGTTGCGTAGCTGGGCTCTGAGCTCCTAACCACTCCCTTACTGCCTACCCTGCCTAGATTATTCACCCCTCTCATCTCAGGCCCGGGCTGTGGGCGCCAATGACGCCAGCCTCGCCTGGGGATTCAGGTAGGAGAGAGACCCAGCCCCCTAGACAGGAGATGCAGCCGGCAGAATTGATCCAGGCTGCCCGTGCCTTATTGGATTGTTCCTGGCTCCTGGGCTCCCCTTCACCCTCAGCTCCTCCCGGAATCCTCTCTTTGCCCTCCTCTGCCCCTAGCCCCCTCTGAGCAGAGCCTCGCAGGCAGGAGAAGAGAGGAGTAAAGGGCAATCTCAGAGCTTTTGTCATCTGGGTTCCCAAGTGGCTTGGACACAAAGGATTAGACAGCAGGGGGCACCTCCTGGGTCAATCCCTAGAAAGATGGGACCCGCATCCTCAGGATGGGGAGCTAGGAGGCCACTCAGAGACCCTTACATTGCTGTCCCCACTAGCCCCAACTCCAGGTAGTTGGAGTTCCTTCCCTGCTGCAGGAGCACAGGACCTAGAGCCACTTCTCTCCTGCCTTCTCATGGGTGGGCAATTCCTCTTGTCTCCCCAGTGTACCTCTGGGACCAGCTGGAGGAGGGGAGCCTGGGGACGCTGCTGAGCTTGGAGGAGCAAATACTCAACTCTATGTTCGAAGCTTGTGACACCCAAAGGACAGGTTGGGAGGGTGCAAGGGGGGGCCAGGCAGCCCTGGGCCTGTAGACACACAGAATAATAAGGGATTGGGGGCAGCTGGAAATGGGAGCCTTAGAGAGAGGGATGGGCTAGGACCCTTTCTTGGGGGGCCTGCAGGACAAGCTGGGTGATTGTGCGAAGCTTTGGGAAGGAAGTAGGGTAAAGGGATGGAGGCCATTCAGGGCAAGGACATTAATGGAAGAGGGTAGGGCCTGGGGAGAGGGAGAGAGGGCAGCCCCCGTAAGCCTGATAGGGCACAGCGGGTCCTCTCTGGTCTACCTTGTGAGTGAGGATGGCTGGGCTCCATTTCCAGGTGAAAAGGTTGACTCAGGGGAGAGGAAAGACTTGCCCAAAATGTCTCTGTTAAGCCATGGTGCTGGGGGGATGGTGGGGGCGGGGGGGGGGGAGGCTCCAGCCCAGCCACTGGTGTTCTACTTTCAAGCTATCGCCTGTCCCTACCCCCCACCTGCCCCAGACTCCCTCACATCATGGTCTGTCCCCAGGCATTGTGACTGTGACCCACGTGCTAGCCTACCTGGAGGCTGTGACAGGCCGTGGCCCCCAGGATACACGCCTCCGAACACTGGCCTGCAACCTGGACCCCAATGGGGAGGGTCCTCAGGCCACTGTGGACTTGGACACCTTCCTTGCCGTCATGCGAGACTGGATCGCTGCCTGTCAGTTGGATGGGTAGGTCTCTGCACCTCTAGCCCTCCCCACCCCCGGAAGTCCTTCCTAAGATCTAACCTCATACCTGCTTACTGCAGCCAGCACCCTTTGGGCAAAGGGGCCTACTTGTAGTTTGAAGTAGACTGAGGAGGAGAGAAAAGTGAAGAGATGGGGTTGGGAGGATGGGGTGGAGAGTCTGAAAACAAAGTTCCTGTGATGGGGGGAGGCAGAAATAAAAGGGACTGGAAGGGGGAGGAATGAGGGTGCTGGGGGGCCGACAGAGGCCCCTCCCCACCCCTTCTCCAAACCCAGTCCTTGCCCTCTCCTGTTCTTCCATCTGGCCCGGAGTTCCTGCCATCTGGCCTTACCTTCCTCCCCATGGTGGGTCTCTCAATGCTCTTGCTCTCACCTGACTCGGCCCCTCCTGCCACCAGCAACCCTCCCTGTGAGGCCGAGGCCAAGCAGGATTGGGGGTGGCTGCAGGGGGCTCTAAGCCTCATCCCTTTGATACAGGGGATTAGAGCTGGAAGAGGAGACAGCCTGTGAGGGGGCCCTGACCTCCCAGCAACCGCCATCTGGTGAGACTACCATATATAGAATAAAGCAGGCAGGCCCAGGGTCAGACAGTGGGGGGACTTCCCACCAGGGGACAGAGCCAGGGGCATGGGGTGGGACCCCTGGAACATTTGCTCTAGTCTGGAGCTGTGAGTTTGGCCTTCCAGGCATCTCTATGGCTGCCTCCCCCACTGTCCCTGAGCTTTGGGTTTTTTTTTTCTTCAGGGCTGGTTCCAAGTCCTCCTCCTAACTGCACACCTCCTCCTAACTGCACACAAGCCCAAGCCCACCTGTCCTTGTCAGCATAATGGGCTCCTGTCTACTCTCTAGTCTTTGATCCCTCAGGCCTACCTGCCCTCCAGGGTCTTCTGCTTGGGCGATTCTCCCTAAAACTTCCCACAGCTGGGGAAGCCCCACCTTGGGAAGCCCTGGGATGCCCCAGGCTAAGGTCCCTGGCTGTCCAGGCTCACTCAGAGGCCTGCCTGTCTTTCCTGGAGAAATCTGACCATCTGATTGAGTCACTTACCCTGCTATTTGGTTAGTTGAGCTGTTCCCCATTTTATCCCTAGGGCCTCACATGTAGCAGGTGCTCCATAGAAAAAGCTCTCCCCTTATACCTTACAAAAACAAAACAAAAGCAAATCTACATGTACAGTTTCCTTGACATTTCCTTGAACCTCTTCCTATTGGGCTTGGGGGGCCATGGGAGGGGCAGGTAAACTCCGGTTGAGATAACACCCCTCCCAAGTAGGGGGAAGGTCAGGATGTGAAGGCTGGAGGCTGGGGAGGAGGTTGTGGGTCCAGGAGGAGAAGGAGAAACCTGAGCCAAGAGAGTAGAGCAGAGTCAGGGAGGAGGGGTCAGGGCCTGGACTCCTATGGACTGTGGGGATGAGGAGGAGCGAGGGAGGGAGGACAGCCCAGTGGCTGGGTGGCTGGGTGGGAGGGAAACCAGGAAGAGGAACAGGTTTCGGGGCAGTTGAGGGGCTGCCACCGCCCATGTCAGGTGTGAATCCAGGGCTATGAGAGAGATCCAGCTTGAGCTCAGGGTACCAATGAACAAGAGGCCTTTCAGATAGTGGATGTAACCATAGCCCCAGGAGCAGATGAGATGACCCAGGGCAAATGTAAGGGTGAGGCTAGTGGAGGCCAAGGCCGCAACCTGCCCCCCCCCGCCTAAGGTCACCAGGAGCCTACCACCCTCTGTCTGTCTCCCTCCAGGATGCCCAGAAGCCGAGGAGCCAGCCAACTTGGAGAGCTTCGGAGGCGAAGACCCCAGACCTGAGATGTACCAATGCCCCCCCACCTCCCTTCCCCACTGCCCACGCCCTCCAGCCTCTACCCTTAGAGCTTGGGGTCCTTGCGGAGTGGGTGAGGGATGGGGTGGGCCATGCTGCTAGCTCCCAGAGAGCAGGGCAGTCTCTCTATTGTTTCTCTTTCTCCAGAAGAGCCTCATCTCCCCACTGCGGCCACCCCCTACCCCACCTGGGAAGGTGGAGGGTTGTGGCCTGTGACCAGCCCTTCCCTGACCTCAGGCCCGCCACAGCTGACCTGCTGAGCAGCCTGGAGGACCTGGAGCTCAGCAACCGCAGGCTGGCCGGGGAGAACGCCAAGCTCCAGCGCAGCGTGGAAACAGCTGAAGAGGGGGCCACACGCCTGGGTGAGGAGATCACAGCCCTGCGCAAGCAACTTCGCAGGTGGGCCAGGGGCCTGTGTCCCTCTTACCGCAGCCCTACTCAGCTCACTTTCCATTTGTTCTCCCTGCACTTCCTGCCCTGTCTGTGACCCCACACTGTCCCTTTCTGCACTTCCTCTTTCTGTCCCACCCCCTTAGTCTTTTAGGTAGAAACTGGGTCTCTGTCCCCTGCACCAAATTCCTCCCCTCCTTTCCCTCTGGATCTCTGTACCCAACCCCTAGGTCTCTGTCTAGGATTTTCTGTTACTTCCCGCTTTCTTGAGTGGAGCTATCTCTACGGTTTCCCTCTCATGTGGCCTACCTGCCCCACCCCCACTCAGTACCCAGCAGGCTCTGCAGTGTGCCAGGGCTGTGAATGAGGAGCTGGAGGACCTGAAGACTCTGGCCAAGAACCTGGAGGAACAGAATCGCAGGCTCCTGGCCCAGGCCCGGCAGACGGTGGGTTCTGGGCAAGGGGCACAAAGCTGCTCTCTTCCTTCCCCCTTTCTTGGAGTCTGAGCAACAGAGTCTGACCATGGAATAGAAGTTACCCTGGCTTCCTCTCTGACTCCAGATCCTGTTTGCCCAAGACTTAGGGTCCAGATCTATTTGCCACTCCTCTCATGACAGGGGGGACAGCAGGAGCCATCAGGGCTCCCAGACTCATCCTCCCAGCCTTGCTCCTCAATAACCCAGATCCAAGATGTATTCCCAGGTGTGGGAGAAGGCCAATACGGAGGCAAGGAGGCCCCAAAAGAAGCCTTTGTCCTCTCTTTGGGGTTGTTGTTCAGGAAAAAGAGCAGCAGCATCTGGTGGCCGAGATGGAGACTCTGCAGGAGGAGGTGAGCTGAGGCCTAGTGCCCATCCCCACCCATTCCCCAAGCCTCAGGACCTTCCCACTCTACCCCTGCTACCCTCAAACACCCCAGGGAGCCTGCACCCAAACACCCTGATGGTCTGTAAAGGGAGACCCCAGAATCCCAATAACATACAAATGTCTCTGAGGGTCTTATCACTGCGTGTAAGTATGGCCCCGGTTCAAAAGAGTGAGGACCATGGGGCAGACTGCCTGAGTTCACGCTGGGGCTGCCTACATAAGCATGGGCCAGTCCATCCACTCCCTGTACCTCAGTGTCCTCACCTATAGCAATGGGCAAAATAACAGAACCTCCCCCATTGGGCTGCATGAGATTTAAACAAGAGGAAGCATGAGGCAGGATGAATGGGAAGTCCTCACTGAAAGTTAACCAGTGTTGTTCATATATTAGCATTTTTTTAATGGTGGAAATTTACACAGGCCTTGAAAAAAACCCTGAGTTCACATCCCATCTCTGCCACTTATAAGACAGCTTAATATCAGGCATGGGTCCTCCCTCCCTCTGGAGCCTTTGTTTTATCCTCTAAGAATGCTAGGAGGCTGTTTGGTGGGATTGTTATAGAAATTAATGCCTGCGTTCAGCCCCAGGGCCTAGCACGTGTTGTCTGAAATGGCTCAGTTCAGCCGCATGTCTGATTCAAGCCCCATCCCATCCGAGAAAGAAATATCATCTCAGTAAATCTGGGTCCACCTAGGCCTTTTTAAGTGGAACTGAAACTCCTCAATTGATGAAACTCATCACTGGCCCCCTGCAAGGTGGCATCTAAGTGTTCCAGGGATGGCGGTCCTCGCTCAATGTCTGTTCTCTCTGCTGGTCACAAGATTGATGTTGATCATCCCATCTGGTCTTCAGCCTTAGTCACCACCACACGTTGGAATCCACTGGGAGGCTGACATTGCCTCTGGTCTCTGGACATACAGTACTCACTGCATCTGCTGGTGGTGGCCCTTGACTCCCCAACACACGAGGGCCCCTGGGGCTCTCCCTCAGCCACTTCCACACCCTTCCATGGCCACAGAGGAGGCTTGGCTGCTTTTCTGAGACTCTTTGTGGCCACAAGTGGCCTTTGCCTCCACTCCTCACACAGCCACCTCCAGTCTGTTACTCCCGGGCCTTGCTGGTTCTGAGGGCTGAGCCCCCTTGGATTCCCAGACATCCCAGGGGTTGCGTGGTTCAACTACACCCTTCCTCTCCACCCCTAGCAGCTAACCTGGGGCTTGGGGCTGATTCAGGGCCTGCTTTCCCTCAACTGCTCTCTTCTTTGACTCTCCCACAGCCTCCACTGCACTAAGGATCTCTGCCCAGTCCAGGCAGTGATACTGATTCTGTCTGATGTCCCCAAATCTCTTTGTCCTACATCTGTATTATAGCTTTTACATTTAAATCCCAAACTTTTCCACTGTTGATCTCTGACTCTTATGTGAAAATTCTGACCTCTGGACGATGGGAATCTCACCATGGGATGGCTGTTATAGTGTGAGGCATGGAGTGCAGACAGGATGTGACTATATTCTTCAAGAACATCTCTTTTTAAGAACAAAGAGAAATTTTTTCCTAAAGCCCCAAGGCAGAACCTCCCCCCTTATATCTTATTGCCAAAGTGACATCATATGATTATAGCCAAACCGCTCTCTGGCATGGGTAATCCAACCTCGAATGGGCCAGAATCCTTTCAGCTCCAAGGAGAGGACCAAAGAATTGGTGGCTTCAATCCGAAGGACACTCATTTCCTTAACAAGAGGCTTTAAAGGTCTCTGGGTTGATTTGGTGACTCAGGCTTGTTCCTCAGCCTGTGGCCTCGTGATCGCAGATGGCTGCAGCACCTCCACTCTCGTCTCATTCAAAGCAGGACAAAGAGGGGAAAGGGGGTCCAGCTAATGCTCCTCCCAACACCTCTTTTTTTTGTCAGAAGGAAAAGGTTTTCCAGGAACACCCCCACTATACCCATCACCCCAGCATACCTCACTTCCATCCCACTGGCAGGAACTGGATGACAGGACACCCCAAGCTGGAAGGGAGGCTGGGAGAATACCTGACCTTCCTCAGCCTCTGGAGTGGGAGATGAGCAAGGAAGAAGGGACATGAATGGCCACTGGGTTAACTACCCAGCCAGTTCTGAATCTGCTGCGAGTTCCCTCTTATTCACCCCCCAGGGTGGGGCTAGGACCTGCCTGCCCACGTGGAGGGTAGACCCCCCAACAAAAGCAGAAGAAGGAATAAGCAGGGTGTATGGCAGCCAGCAGTCTCTGCCACTTCCCAGCCCAGAAGGCCAGCTGCCAGGTCAAGTGCCTTGAGCAGCGCCTGGGACATCCTAGGCGCTCGATAAACCAGAGCTATTCTTGGTTGCCTCCTCCCCACAGCAGCCTACAGAGCATCTATAGATTGAGTTCTCAAGTTACAGTCGAATAATGCTGGAATAAGGGACACTCAGACACTCGGCTTTCCTACGGACAATCTACAGAGTAGGGCTCCGATTACTGCAGAAGAAGGCAGGAGAGGCTGAGTAACCAGGTTCCCTACAGGGTGGCCCAGGATCCAGCCTCCAAATCCCTGCCAGGTGGACAGATGTTGACACAGCATTCCTGGCCTGTCCTTCCTCTGCCCTTCACCTGGCAGCGCAGGCCCGCTGAGACCAAGAGGGAGGGACGGCTGATGGAGGACTTGGAGCCCAGCCAGCTGAGAAAAGGGAGGAACTGGCCTTGGTGTCCCCAGGGGGACTGGGAGGAGGGGTGTGGTGAGGAAAGTCCAGAGCCTCTCTGCCCTGAAATGCTTTTGCCCGTGGCTACTTCACATCCAAATCAGGGCAAGTTGCTAAGTTTCTGGTCCCTAGAAACTCTAATAGACTGGATTTGGGGCCATTTTATTGTTAGATCCCATTTCCTGGCCCCCTTCTTTTCTGGGATAATTCTCACCCTGGAGGACTCAAGGTGCCCCCGACCTGCCTCTTGAGGAAGTCTCTCATCCAGGCTTCCACAGGGCCCAGGCCCTAGGCCTCATCAGAGTCTACCTCTGGCATTGTTATATCTGCTTCTGTACCTGTCTCCACCTCTCGCAATGAGCTCCCTGAGGCCAGAGATGAAACTGGTTCCCTACTCTCACCCAGGGTGCGTCTGGCTCAGAGTCTGGTTGTTAGAAATGCAACCTTTAGAGTCAGATTTGGGTTTGAGTCCATTCACCATGTGACTTTGGCCAGGTTTCTCAGCCTCTCCAATCCTCAATTTCCTTCGTAAAATTAAGAGGCGGGGGGGGAGGGGGTGATGCCAATAAAAACATTAACAGTTGGGACAACCAGACATTACATTCTTCCCGAATGGTGCAATATGACGTGTACAGCACCCGTGAAATCTTCCTGCCAGAAAATTGAACGGGAGCCTGGTCAGGGCCCTGGAGCTACCCACTTCTGCAGAGGAAGTAAAGAGGTGGGAGGAATGTGGTGAGCATCCAGCACAGAGAATGAGAACTCAGGAAGCCAAATCCTAATGCACCAACTCCACAGGACAAATAACCTGATTTCCTAAACAAAAGAAGGGTCCCCAAAGTGTCAGGGAGGTGAGCAACCACTGTCAGAGGAAAAGAACTGAGACATTTCAGCCAAAAACCACAGCAGACCTTGTTTGGATCCTCATATAAAAGACTCAATGTGAAAAGATCTTTGTGAGACAACCAAAATAAAAAAAAAAAAACCACAAATTCCATATGCAATAGTAAGGAATTATTACTTTTGTTAAGAGTGATAGTTGGTATTGCGAGTTTGGTAAAGTAAAAAATTCCTTAAGCAGGAAATTAAAATGCTGAGAGTCGTTCCACATAGAAATAATAGAATATCTGGCATTTGCTTTAGAATCATCTGTGAAACGAAACAAGACAAAAAAACCTTGGAGGAGGGCAGCCCAGGTGGCTCAGCAGTTTAGCGCTGCCTTTGGCCCAGGGTGTGATCCTGGAGACCCAGGATCGAGTCCCACGTCAGGCTCCCTGCATGGAGCCTGCTTCTCCCTCTGCCTATGTCTCTGCCTCTCTCTCTCTCTCTGTGTGTCTCTCATGAATAAATAAATATTAAAAAAAAAAAAAACCTTGGAGGATAGGGAAGAAACCAGGGAAATGTAAATAATTACTGAAGTTGGCCGATGAGTAGTGGGAGTCCATTATACTGGTATTTTTACTCGTGTGTGTGTGAAAAACATGAAGTTTTGAAAATATCTTAAAAACATGTATTTTACATTTCCTGAACATCCTTCCACATGTGCAGGGTGCTATTCTGAATGCTTTGTGCTTAATAGTGTGTGTTTGCATGAATTACCACCTGTATGACTTGGGGGGTGGGGAAGCAGGCGGTGGGCTAGGGGTGGAGGTTGCTCAACCTGTCTTTACCTTCACAATACTGCAGAAGAAATGAGGTAACACTTGCAAGGTGTTCAGGACAGTCTAGCAGATACTGTTACCAGCCCTGTGAAGTACATTTGTGTACCCAATGATGCACAGAGAAATCAAACTGGGATCTCATAGGATGGGTGGAGGGGTTAAATGAACCCAAACCTATAAAGTGCCTGAGGCCTGTCATGGCATGTCAGCGGTTGAGAAAATGCCAGCTGTGGGTACTAACATTGCCATTGGCTGAAGTGGACTTGACCGGTCTTTTCCTTCTTCCAGAACGGGAAGCTGCTGGCTGAACGGGATGGAGTCAAAAGGAGGAGCGAGGAGCTGGCCACAGAGAAGGAGGCTTTGAAGGTGCCATTCCTCCCTGGTACCATTTTTTTCAGTTTCCGCCGCTCTGGCCTCGTGAAAGCCGGGGCCTTCATCCAGCTATCAGGTTCCCAGGGCTCTGGGCAGCTCAGCTGCAATCCCTTTTGGGGTAGCTCATGTCCAGAGACATCGTGGGAGCTTGAGAGGGGCTCGGGAGAGTTGGGTGGGCTGGGAAGGGCAGCACTAGCTGAGGCCAGTCCCAGGAGGCTGGACAGATGGATGGGCTCCTTCCTTGGCAGTGGCAGCTCTGTGAGTGTGAACGCCTCATTTGCCAACGAGATGCTGTCCTCTCTGAGGTGAGAGACCCCAGGGGGTGGTGAAGGACATTTACCTCCCATGTGTTCCCGGCTGTCCCCTGCCCCTGCCCCAAGGTCTGGAAAGGGAAGTCCTGCCTGGGTCTCATCCCCTGGATAAACAGCCTGGAGGGGTCAGAGGGTTCCCTGCACCCAGGGTGGCAGGTATGTCCCTGCAGGATTTAGAAACCTGGCGCTCTTCCCCCAGGCCCAAGCTCTTCCCTCAGACTCACTCTTCCAGTCTCCCCTACCCCTAGCCCTGCCTCAGCATCTTTGCGGGGCTGGGCCCAGTCTCAGGGGGCTTTGGACTTCTCCAGCGCACTCACCACGCCGAGGGTCTGGTCAAGACGTTGGAGGAGTACAGAACAACCACCCAGGTACCCGACTGCCCTCCTGCCCACCCGTGGCCCCCTGCCTGGCCCCACTCTTCTGCCATCTCTGTGATTTGCTGCCTCCTCCTGCCCCTGTCTCTCTTTTTCTGGAGTTGTGTATGTGTGTGTGTCTCTCTCTCTACCTTTTCACTTGCCCTTTGTTTCCTTCCTCTCTCTCCCACCCTGCATAACTCCATCTCGGGTCCAGTTTCATTCTCTGGGAGGGTCTTGTCACCAGTGCATCTCCCCTGCTTATCTTTCTGTGTGCCTGCCTTTCGTTGATCTAATCTGTCTCCAGGGATAACTCTCCTCTCTGTGGGTCCCTGATCAGGGTTCTGAGTCTCTTACTCCTCACGAGTCTTTTACCTCTCCATGAATCTGTGGCCATGTATCCTGTTTTTAATCTTCCTGGCTGGTGGGCTACCTCTGGGTTCCTGCTGCTCTCTAGCTCTCTTTGGCTTCCTGAGTTTCTGTCACTGCTCTCTTCCCCTTGTCCCTGGGCAAGACGCTTCTGGAGGAGCCCAGGGAAATCAGAGGAGTGGAATTGACTGTCAGAGGAGCCCAAGGCTGGGAGATGGAGAAGAACAGAGGGGCAGGGGTCCCCCACTCCCTCCTTTGCAGGAACTGAGGCTGGAAATCTCACACCTGGAGGAGAAGCTGAGTCAGACCCAGGAGGGGCGAGACGAGTGAGTGGAATATAAGGGGTGGAGGAGACAGGAGGGGAGCCCCAAGGCCAGGAACCCTGACCTCCAGCCACAAGGTGGGCAAAGTAGCCACCCCAGAGGGGGTATACTGATGGGTAGTGGGCAGGCACAAAGAGAGCCTTCCCCTCTTGACCATGTGGCTAGGCTATCAGAAGGGGCCCAAGTGAGAAGAGTGGGCTGGACCAGGCTGCTGCCCCCATCGCTGGGTGTAGAGATTGAGGCCATTCAGCAGGTGGGCCTGGCTCCTGGGGAGCACCCCAACCCATTGCCAGCCCCGGCTCTAACCCAGCCCTGATTCTCACTGCACCCCATCCCCCCCCCCCCAACCAGGACCATCTCAATCCTTCACCTACATCATCCCCACCCCCATCCTTGGTCCTGCTGCCAAACCCTTCCCAGGCCCTGCCTCTCCCTGCTTCCCAGCCCAGCCTCACACCAGCCCCTTGTCTCCTCCCACCCCATGCCTCAATGCCTCAGCCCATCTCCATCCCCATCTCTCACCCGACTTTTGCCTTCACCTGGCCCTCCCTGGCCTTAGAAAGGACTTCTCCTCTCCCAGAAACAAGAAGTGGCAGCCGCTGCTCTCTCAAGCCCTCTGTGTGGAGTGTGGCAGTGGGAGGAGGTTGCCATTGAGACTGATGAGGAAGCTGAGTTTCCCTCTAAAGCCCCAACTGGGGCACAGGTGAGCATGGGAAGGGCACAGAGACCACTGGAGTCCAGGAGCTGGGAAGGGGGCCTGGGACTCCATGTGCTAGGAGCTCGTTGCCCATCCCATGGGCACATCTGCTGGACACAGAGCCCAGGCCAGCCAGGACACCATCCTTGCCCTCTAGGGACTGGCCCATGAGGGTAGGAGACAGGAGCAAACAAAGCAAACCCAGACTGCATGGTGGTAATTTTGTAGTTGAAAAAATGGTATCAGGAAGCACTGCATTTACAGTGGTTCTGCAGCGGGAAGGTAAAAAGTGCATCCTTCTGACAAATGCCGTAAAAATACAGTAAGCTTTTACTTTTTGGATCCGAGGCACTTTTAAGAACAGCTTAGCCAGCCCACTGTGAAATCTGGAACTCAACCATAGTGGTTGTTTTAGGACTTCTGTAATTACCTGAGCAATATTTCAACATCCTTTGAAACAACTGAGACAATTCATCTTCATTGTCCACAAGAGAAAAGTGAGATTTTAATCTATCATCACCAAAAGTCTCTGTCTCCCTTTTTTTTTAAAAGAAAATATTGCTAACAGCTCTGTAACTGCATTGTCTTGAAAATAACAATGCTTCAGAATTATACTATTTACTGTTCTTAAAGGAGAAACTCATTCCTTTGCTACTTTCTCCCTGGGTTGAGAGAAGCTTCTGTGCTTCCCTTCAACACTAGTGCTGTCTGATTTTTTTTAAGTTATTTATTTATTTGAGAGAGAGAAAGGGAGGGAGTGTGAGTGTGCAGAGGGGCAGAGCAAGAGGGAGAGAGAGAGAGTCTCAAGCAGACTCCACACTGAGAACGGAACCAACAGGAGGCTTTATCCCAGGACTCAGATCATGACCTGAGCCAAAACTAAGAGTGGGATGCTTCACTGATTGAGCCACCCAGGTGCCCCTGATTTGTCATTTACCTCCCCTGATATCTCTGCGAGGTAGGCATCCTCATCCCTCATCCTGTTACCTATGGGAAGCTGAGGCTCAGAGAGGTCACCTGTCCCCAGCCACACAGCCTGTGGGTGGCAGTCACATTCCTCAGAGGAGGTATAAATCAGAGTGAATTCTGCTGTGAGCTCTCAGATGTGCCATCTAGACCTAGGCCTCTGGGGGTCACCTGCTCTGAGTCCTGGAGCTACCTTGTGGAGCCACTCAGGGCCCAGTGGGGACATCATGCAAAGGGGCCATCCTCATGCAGGGCCATGGGTGTGCAGAGGTGGGGGCAGGCCCGGAGGGAGCCCACCAAAAAGGGGACCTGTGTTGTATGGGAGACTGGAGAGGGGGTCACAGGAAAACTGTGAGTTTATTTTGGAGAAGAGGGAGAAGTTAAGTGGTGTGAGGAAAGAGAGGCCTTGCTGGCAGCAGAAAGCACAGGCACAAGGATGTGGGGTGGGAAAGCACAGAACATGCTTGGGAAATGGAGTGGTGAATGGCTAGGGAGCAATGAGACCAGATTGTGACAGGAATTCCTTATCAAGCAAGGAGATTGTACTTTTCTCCTTTGAGAACTGCAAGACCCCTGAGGGCAGGCGGCTCTGGGTATGGTCAGCTTTGAATGTAGAAAGATCCCTGGGTAACCCCAGGGGGACCGGCTAGAGTCAGGGAGGCCAGGGAGAGGCTGGGGCAAGAGTCCAGAAGATGAAACCTGAGCCAGGCCAGGGCCTTGGGATGGAGTGAGAGGAATATGCAGAGGGAAGTGGACAGGGGAGATGGGGCTCTGGACAAGCGGGCTGTAGGCGCAGGGTGCCCCCAGAGATGCCGATCTTATCTTGCAGCCCAGTAAGGTGGGACCCTGAGGGACATCCAGTGGCTGCACAAGCCTCGTTTGGGTTCTGCTCCTGGGGCGAGGGAGAACCAGCCCCAGGGAAGGAGTCCAACAGGTTCTAGAAGTAGGTGGTGAATTCTTGCAGGTGTCACAGCCCCGGAGACCTAACTTTTCCTTTTCCCACAGAGAAACTTCCAAGGAGAGCCAGTACACCCTCATGGAGGAAGACAGGAGCAATCAATGTGGTAAGAAGTTTGTCCCTTCCAAAGCCGTCCCCCTGCCTTGGAGTGACACTACATTCTTTGACAAATTCAAATAGACTACAAGGGTTGGAAGAGCCCCAGGGGAGTGACAGGTCATTCACTCCTTCATTCATTCATTCCCTCACACTCAAGTGACCCTCATCCTGTGAACCTGGATGAGCCACCCCCAGCCCTGCCCTCAGTGTCTCCTAGCCTAGAGGGAGACAGACTCTGACCCAGCCGGTTCTGGGAGGACATCTGGCATTTCAGGCCACCTGCAGAGCAGGGGGGCTTCCCGGGGAGATGATGCTTGAATGGGGTCCCGTAGGAGCAGTACTCAGATAGGAAACTTCTAGACAAGAAGACAGTTGGCTAGCTAATGGGACAGCTCAATCACTTTGTCACTGTCACTGAACGCACCTCTCCCAAGGCCAGGGACCCCTGGGATGGATGACTGAAACCCAGACTGACCCATGGAGAACCCAGGGAGTCAGGAGACAGTCAAGGACTCTGGACTTGGACAGCCTGGGTTCAAAGCAAGCCCCAGCTTGCTTACTTCATGATGGGGGTGGTGTGAGCATTAGTGCCACGTAGCCCCAGCCCTGGGATTGTGATGAAGCACGTGCAGGCCTCTAAGGGGACTTAAAGCACTGGATGTCTGGGCCCACCCTCCCCTGGGGCCTGGCCTTGGGGCCTGTGGTTTCCTGTGGTGCCTCCCGCCTGCTGCTGTCCCCCCTTCAGGCTCTCGGCTGTGACAACTAATGAGGCTGCCTGCCACTGGCCTCTAATTGGACTTGTCTGAGAAAGCTGAGATTGGGCAGGAAGGGGGCTCCAGAGCTATGACCTCCCCCTACGTCACCAGGGAAGGGAAGGGAGGGGGGCTGAGCAGCAGTGAGGGTGGGAGCTGGATCCTGAGTTTCCCAGGATCAGGGCAGTGTGATACCGGGAAGCTGGAAGCCAGGGAGGCGAATCCTGTGCCCCCTAAAGGTGGCAGCTAGGGGTGAGAGCTGTGATCTGGAGAAGGCCGAGAGAGGAGCCCCCTGGAGCGCAAGTTGAAGTCCCAGGGGATGAGACAGATGTGTGTCTGACTGGGCAGCAGAGGCTGGGGGCTTACCAACCTGGACACCTTTCTGGGTGCTAGTGAAGACACAGCTGTGTTCTGAGGGTGTGAAGGTACTGGCAGCTGGAGGGCTGGATCCCTGAATCCCTTGCTGGATCCCCTACAAAGGTGGTAGCCAATGGTATGGACCTCTGGGTCTCTCAGGGGCACTCGAGCTGGGCCGCTTGAGGTCTGAGTCCCCAGAGAGGTATTCCAGGGGCTCAGGCAGCTGCAACCCTCAGAGGGGCAGAAGTTGGCAGCTTGCACACTGAAGAGAAATGATTTGTGAGGAGAGATGTTCACAATTGGCTTCTGGAATCTTGGTCCTAAAAGAAGACCCAATAAACCTGAGACTCACTGAAAAAGACACAAACCTCACCCCCGCCCCTGCCCCGCAGGCATAAAGTGGGGGGTGGAGTCCACCCCTGCCCTAGAGTCCTGGAGAACTCTGAGTCTTGTTTGGGAGAGTAATTGAGCAGAAGCCTCAGCTCCTAGCTAGGGCATCAGCTGGAAAACAGCGGAAGAGAAAGCCGGTTTGATCAAGAGACCCTCTTACCCTTTGGGGGAGTCACACACCCTTTTGCTGAAAATTCCTCTGTGAAATATGCACACTGACCTACACACAGCAGTTTCTTCATGGGAGGACACCCCCAGATCCATCCATTTAAGACCCCCTGCTTTAAAGGTTCATCCAGCTCCACGGTGGGCGAAGGGGAGCCAAGCCAAGCAGTATGACTCTGTTGTCCCCTCAGGTTGCCCAGAAGCGAGAATGAGGAGGAAGTAGAGCCCCAGACCACGGTAAGCAGTCCCCACCCACTCCAGGCCCTTGAGGAGGGTGATACAGTGACAGCTCCTCCCAGCCCTCACCCACACTCCCACTTCTCTTGAGCAGACAGAAAAATCATTTGGCCAAGAGATAACAAGGCCCTTGCTATAGCTAATGAGAGCGGACAGCGTCGTGGGGGAAGGCCTACAGGCCAGTGGGCGGCCAGAATGTTCCCAGGGGACCCCCCAAGCGCATACATGGGGCGGCAGCCGCTAAGCCACAGGCCTCACAGACGTGGCTACACCCCCGGAATGCGAAAATGCACACGCACATGCACCCACACACAGGAAGGGGCTGGGCCCTCCCCAGCCAACCCCAGAACTCCCTGGGGCACAGCACCTGTCATGGTTCTCCCTCCTGGCACCACACACACCAGCAGCTTTGCGCCTCCAAGGAGCAGGGTGAGGTGCAGGTACCAGTCCTCATTCTCAGGCTGGGAAAGGGAGTGAAGCTCAGGAGAGGCAGGGAGCCCATAGTCCTCAGGATGGGAATGTGGGAGCCCAGGTATTTGCCGGGCATCCAGGCCGCTTGGAGTCCAAAGCATCCAAGATGGTCTCTCTGAGCAGCCTGACCGCAAAGCCCACCTCCCACTCCCCTCTACGGATACTGGGCCCCACCTCAGTTTCCTCCAAGCTGACTTGACCATGATTTCTCCCTAGTGTCAGAGTGGGGGCGGGGAGGGCTAAGGACCATGTGAAAGCCCCCACGCCCCCCCCCCCACAGAGCAGGCACACAGTAGGTAGGTGGCAGTGGTGAAGGTAGGGGCTGAGTCAGGTTGTCCTGTGATTCCTTATTATTGCTTTTACTGCCATCATCAGCATCCATGGGACGAAGATGTGGGTGGGAAAGCCTGAGACCAACAGAGGGGGTGCCCTTTCAGAGAGACATGGGGGATGAGGTGGCCCTTGGAGGGAATATTTGGGGCTTTCATCTTAAAGCACCTGCAGGTTCTGATGCAGGCAGAGAGTGTGCCCACACTGGACTAGGCCCAGCACAGGGTTAGACTCCTGGAGAAGATGGGGTCTCTGCCCTCACGGAGCTTGGATACTTCCAGAATCAGATGCAAATGGAAATAGTAGTATTGAACAGCTCACATAATTATGGAGTGCCCACAGTGTGCCAGGCACAGGGCTCTGCTCTGAGAGCCCTCTGGCTTTTTGGCTTTTTACCTGCATTCCCTTCTGCAGACTCTGCTTCAGCCCTGTGAGGAGGGAACTGTCATGGACCCTGTCCAGCAGGTAAGGCAAATGGGCCATGGAGATGTGGGGTGACCTACGGGGCATACAGCTGGAAGCTGGCAGAACTGAGAACCCAACCCGGCAGGCTGTCTCACTGTGTTCCACCCCCTTCCATGTGGTCACTTCTGTCCTGGTTCAGTGGCCTGGCCAAGGGCCTCTCCCTATCCAAGACCTGGGAGTTCCAAGTTTGTCTCCTTCGTCCCTCCAGGACAGTCTGCCCATCCCTCTGGGGGACCCTCATCCTGGAGACATCCCAGGAAGCCCTCCTGAGAGGTAACGGGACCCGTGGGGACTGGAAGGGACTTGGAGGCACAGGAAGGGTCCAGCATGACTGCTCTGCTCTCCTTTCTGTCCAGCAGCCCTGCTGAACCAGAGCTGCAGCAAGCCCTGGTGCCTGTGGTAAAAGAGCTGGTCCCAGTCAGGAGGCCTGTCTGGGGCCAGGTCTACGGCCAACTCTGCCTGCCCACCATGTACCACCAGCCGCTCAGGTGCACCCCAGAACGTCTCCAGAAGGAGAGTGGCAGTCACACGGTGGGGCTCTACACCACCAGCACCCCTTGCACCTTGCGAAGCACTGGACTGCCTCCCACCAGGGTCCCTCGGCACCCGCTGATTCCGGTACCCATCCTGGGCCTGCTGCTGCTGCTCCTGCTCTCCATCCTGCTGCTGGGCCAGTCCCCGCCCCCCACCTGGCCCCACCTCCAGCTCTGCTACCTCCAGCCCCCTCCAGTGTGAGGCGCTCAGAGCAAGGCCTAGGCAGAGAATTCCTCGCGGCTCTTCCTACTGTTATTACCATTGTTGTGCCACCGTGACCTGGGAGGACCCGGGTCCGGAACCCTAGATACAGTGCTCCAGGACACACACCCCTGTATTGGGTTTTTATGTGAAGTCTTTTGGTTTTTTTTAACATCAGTGACCACAATTCTTAACAATACCAAAACACACCCAATAATGGATTAAATGCTAGGGGCTTATTTTCCTCCTGAAACCAGCCTGGAGGAGAAGAATGGGCCCACAGCTCTGGGTCTCCACAGCCTGGAGGTCAAGGGAGCTGGGATTCTTTATCATCCTCCTGGTCCTTCCTCTTGCTCAGGAGGTGGCAGACATAGCTTCATGTGTCACATCTGCAGGAAGAAGGGGACATGTCCCTTTGGGTTTTTTTTTTTTTCCCCCTTTGTTTATAAAGAAAACCAGTAGCCTTCCCAGAGCCAACCACAGAGCCGTGTTTCTGTCTCATTTGCTGGAAGTGTTTATTGTGACCACTCTTAGCTGCAAGAGAGGCTGGGAGACAGAGCACCTCTTCCTTCTCCTGGCAGAAAGAGGGAGAGAGACATATGGGTCCTGCACACATCACAGATGTCCACTGCAGTGCAAACAGCTGGCAGGAGATGGACCGGTGTGCCCTTTGTTCACTCATCACTAACTGCTCATCCATGTGCCACAATTAGACCTTAGAAGATAAAGCTGTAGGGGCATCTGGGTGGCTCAGTCTGTTAGGCATCTGACCTCTGCTCAGGTCATGATCTCGAGGTCCTCGGATGGAACCTCACTTCAGTCTCCCCACTCAGCAGGAAGTCTGTTTGTCCCTCTGCCCTTCCCCCCACTCATGTTTGTGTGCTCTTTCAAATAAAATATTTTAAACATTCATTAAATTATATTTTTTTTAAGGAAAATAAAACTTTAGAAAAATAGGCCCCTCCAATGCCAGCCTGAGGAACACTGGTTTTCTCCTCAGGATGATGGGAGCTTTGGGAGATTTTATTGCTTGTTTGTTTTTTTTTGTTGTTGTTGAGTTTTAATTGAGATGTAACTTAAATATAAATGGACATGCTTGCTTCATCAGCACATGTACTAAAATTAGAACCATACAGTTAAGTGGACACATCTTAGTATCAGGTGCATTAGTTTTTGCATAATGCAAATACCCACAAAACCAAAACTCAGGTCAAGATATAGAATAGTTGCAGCACCACAGAGGCTTCATTCGGAGAGTTTTGAGCAGGGGAGGATCAGAGTCACCCTATTTAAAAGCATTTAGTGATAGAGGTAGCTTCAGGCTCCAGAGGAGCCCAGAAAATGCATTAAACCCATCCTAGGAGGATAGGAATTTTGTCCCAGTTAGGTGACATCTGTGTGCAGTCTTGAAAGATGAGTGAAGTTTGTTACAGTGAGCAGGGACTGAGGAGGGTGTCATGGGCAAAGGGAATAGTGTGTGTGAAGACCAGGTGGTGGGAAAGAGCCTGTGTGTGCAGAGAGCCATAGAAAGCACCATGTTACTGAGATTTAAAAGGGGGGGAGTGTTTGGGGGCCAAGGAAAGATTTGAGGCTACAGACTGGTGAGAAGTGAGGCAGGCAAGAGCCCACAAAGGTTTTTAAACACCAGCCTGAACTTTAATCCCAAGTGCCCAAGAAAGGGCTGTGAGCAGGGAAAGGGCAGTATCAGCTCTAGGGGGGCACCTGGGTGCTCAGTGGTTGAGCATCTAGATGCCTTCAGGTCAGGTCATGATCCTGGTGTCCTGAGATCAAGTCCTGCATCAGGCTCCCTGCAGGGAGCCTGCTTCTCCCTCTGCCTGTGTCTGTCTCTCTCTCTCTCTCTCTCTCTCTCTCTCTCTCTCTGTCTCTCATGAATAAATAAATAATCTTTAAAATAAAAAAAAAAGGAAATCAACTCTAGATGGGGAAGAGAGCTTCTGATCCTCCATGCAGGATGAATGTGAAGTGACGCAGGAGGTGGGGAGAAGGCTGGGGTCATGGTCCACATGGGAGAGGATGAGGCCTGAGCTGAGCTGAGCATGTGGATGGAAAGAAGGGGAAGGGCAGAAAGAGGCAGAGCAAGAAGGATGGAGCCAGAGACTGACTGCCGTGAAGGAGGATGAAGAAGGATGGGGCAAGGAGAGCACGTGGGTCTGACCCAGTGACTCGTAGACAGAGCATTTCCAAAACGGAAACCCATGAGAAGAAGTGGGTTTGGGGAAACACTGAGCTCATGTGGGATGAGGTAAGTGTCAGGGTTCCAAAGAGTGGTTGGAGCCCTGAGCCTTGAGCCCGAATTCTAGAGATGGGGTCCTGAATGTTATTACCTGTGGATGGTCACTGACGTTTTGGGAATTGCTGACATTTCCTAGGAAGAGGAGAGAAGAGTGGGGACGGAAGGGCTTCCAGACACCATTTTATGAAAAGCTTCAAACGCTAGGGGAGACATCTAGGGAGGAAGTATGGAAGGAGCTCAGGCCAAGACACAACTACCAGGCCCTCCAGCCAAAAGCCAACAAGGCTCTTCACCGGGATGTTGTGAGGTTCAAAGAGCCCATAGGAGTGCAATATTTAGAGGAGTGCCTGGCATATAATAACTGTTCATAATTCTTTAATCTCATTTCTCCACGAGTGTAATGGCAAGATCTAGACTAGAAGTCACAGATCTGGTTCCAGTTACACTTTTGTCCTTTACTGGAGCTGACAACTTGGGGAAATTACTCTGGACTTTCAGAGTCTTACTTGCGAAATTTGGCCAACTCCAGATGGAGCTGAGAAATAGAATTCCTTCAGAGAAGGAGGTCCACCCCTACAGCCTAAGGCCAACTAGGACGCCGTCCGCCTCCCAGAAATACGACTGATGGGAGAGCCTGCCGGCAGCCCAGCGACGTCCCCGCCCCTTCCCCTCGAACCACGCCCCAGCCCCGCCCTCCACGCTAGACCAATCAACGCTCGATCCGCACAGGCCGCGCCCCGCAGAGCCCTCTGCGTGCCCCTCCAGGTACGTTGCCATGGTCACCATTGAGCGTTGGGACCCAAGGGCTGGCGGAGCCGCCAGTGAGAGAGAGAAGGAGATAGAGACAGATTCCGTTGACTGCTGCTTCGCTTCACCTGCGCCCCAGCCCTGTGCCCCCGGGAGCTTGACGCCTCGTCTTCTTGTCGTCTCCTCCCGCCCCAACGTGGCGCGCCGATGCTCTCCCGGGAAGGGCGCATTCAAAAAACCCTGAACAAACTTCTGGAAGTTGCTGCTGCTGCTGCTGCTGAGAGGCAGAAACCCTTTTCTAACAAAAGCCTTTTGCTTCGTGAGCGCTGTGGTGAAGTTTTCTCTTGGTGCATCTGGGTTAATCCTCAGATGCGGGGGTAAAAAAAGGCTCAGAGGTTAAGCAGCCCTTCCCAATACCACACAGCTAGGTTCGGGGTAACATGGTCTTGAATGGCAGGTACATCTCACCCTAGAGTCACCCGCGCGCGCGCGCGCGCACACACACACACACACACACACACACTCATCTTTCCACGCAGAGAGAAGTTGGGAAGGGAGGACAGTGCAAACGGCGAAATTCGGAGAAAATGAGAGCTGGAAGAGGGAGAGGGAAACAACAAAAGAAAAGACATGAGGGAATCAGAGAAAAAAAAGAAAGTGATTAAGAATGGAAGGAAGGTTGGGGATCCCTGGGTGGCTCAGCGGTTTAGCGCCTGCCTTCAGCCCAGAGTGTGATCCTGGAGTCCCGGGATCGAGTCCCACGTCAGGCTCCCTGCATGGAGCCTGCTTCTGTCTCTGCCTCTCTCTCTCTCCCTCTCTCTGTCTCTCATTAATAAATAAATAAAATCTTTTTAAAAAAGAATGGAAGGAAGAGTTTCAGAGGCAGAAAGAAGAGTAGAGAGAGGAAGCAGAGGGTTAGGAAGCCAGGAGGGTGGAAAGAGTAGTTTCAGAGACTCAGAGAGAAGGCAAACAGACACCCAGAGAGGGACAGAGACACAGAGAAGGGGACAGAGACTCGGGGAAACTGAGACTTGGTTGCAGAGAAACCCAGCGAGGAGGACAAAGACCTGCAGGTGGGGTTGGAGCAGAGGTGCGGGTGGGGAGGGACAGAGGCACGGAGTGAGCGGAGGGGACAGTGCTGGGGCATGGAGGGGGCGCAGAGCAGAAACGCAGAATACGAGTGTAGGGAGGGAAAGATAATTGGGAAAAAATGGGACGAGGAGAGAATATCTCGAGAGAGGGAACTGAGGGAACGAGAGACGCGGTAGTGGCGACGCAAGCCCCGCCCCTGGATCCCGCACACACACACCCCGCCCCGGGGCGCAGGAAGGAGGCGGAGACCCGAGCGCTGGGGTAGGATCTTTATTGAGGGGAGGCGAGCGCGGCGCTCAGCGCGCGTCCAGCACCAGCAGCTTGTGCATGTACGAGTTCAGCCAGTGGCGGCGCTCGAGGGCGGCCAGCAGCCGCGCGCGCTCCCGGAAGGCCGCGTCGTCCGCCAGCGCCAGGCTCCGCCGCGACAGCGGGGTGGCCGGTCCCGCCCAGGCCCGGCCGGGGGCGCGGAGGCTGCGAGGAGACGGAGAGATGCGGTCACCGCGGTCCCGCCCGCCCGCCGCCACCTGTACCCCACCCCCCACGGTCTAACTCGAAGCCCTGTCCCTGCGCCGTCTGCAGAGTGGCTCGGTGACTGTCCCCACCATCACCACCCCACCCCGTCTCCCTCTGCACGAGTCTCTGTTCACCCGGCTCGAAGCTCCCCGAGGCAGGCGTCCCCCCCAACGCTAAGCGCGCGGCCCGACACCCACGAAGGACCCAATAAACTTTGCTCAAGGAACGAGTCCACCGCTGCTTCGGCTCCTTTCAAATCTCTCAACGCCTTTCTCGGGATCTTTTTGCACCTTTTTCCCGTGCGGATCCCCTGCCCACACTCCACCTCTCTCTACCCCTGGTTCTCTCTTCTCTCTCTCTCTCTCTCTCTCTCTCTCTCTCTCTCTCTCTCTCTCTCGTCTCTGGGCCCCGTCTCTCTTTGGGTCTCTCTCCGGATCCCCGCCCCTCCCTGGGTGTCCCGGGGCGCCGCACGTACCTGAGGACCCCAGCGGGGGGCAGGGCGACTCCTGAGGCTGAGCGGTGGCCCCAGGGCACCAGCAGTAGCAGCAGCAGCAGCAGCAGCCGCATCCGGGGGCTCCTGGGCACCTGGCGGGTCTCCATCACCTGTGGAAAGACAGAGAAGAGCTCAGTGAGGCCCACGACCTGGCCCCGGACCCCAGACCCCCACCCCCACCCACCTCCTGAGCCCGCTTGCAGGGCTGGCTATCGCGCAGTGGGCTCGGCCCGCCAGGCTGCAGCCCCCTTATATCGTCTCCACAACCCCCGCAGCGGGCAGTGACGCAGACCAGGGGGCTGGGGGCGCCGGGTCAGCCCCCCCCCCAACCAGGCTCATTAGGAGCCGCCAGCGGTAATGAGGAGCCAGGAGTGGGGGCCCTGCCTCTGCCTTCGCAGCCACCAACTAATTGGGACCAGGAGCAGGGACCCGAGGGGAAGCAGAGGGGGAGAGACAGACAGACAAAGTGGACAGGAGGTGTGTCAGAGGGATAAAAATAGAGACCGGCAGAGGGACCGGCAGAGCAGAAGCCAGAGACACAGAGAAAAAGAGAAAGCAACAGAAGAGGGACTGTCGGGGAGAAGCAGAGACACACAGATGAAGTAACCACGAGAGGGAAGGACAAAGACAGAGTGACAGAGGAAAGGGCCCAGCGGAAGAATGGGAGCAAGAGAGGAAGAAGGAAAGAAGAGGAAGGAAGAGAGGAGTGGGGAAGAAGAGAAAGAACCAGCTAGAGATGGAGGGAGGAGGCTCTGAGAAAGACCTGAGATAGAAGAACAGACAGCCAGCACAGCGATGCCCAGAGAT